AAGACAAATTCCTGCGAAGAATTCGTTGGCCATCGACACTCGAGTTTCGGGCTTGATGAAGGTCTTTCCATATATAGCTCCGCACTCAGTGTCCAAGACAGTGTAATTCGGCATCATTTGCCGACGAATATGCGACCTGGTACCATCAGCGCCGACCAAGATGGCTCCTGTTTCTTTGGTGCCATCTGTAAACGTTACCTCGACACCGTCGCTGGTGACACAATAACTTTCGAAAGTTTTTCCAAAGCTGATGTCATCTTCCAGTCCTTCCAAGAGCACATTTCGAAGAACAACGCGATCAGCGTTATAATACTTCCCCTCCGGCATCGGAGGGGGACCGCGTCGCTCACCAGACGGTGTTGGTTTCTGACCGGTGACAGCATCGAGACCGCTCATGGCTGGGTTGAAGAGGGCACAGGTATTTTCATAGGCCTTCCAGAGATTGTCTGGGAGCAGTTTGTAGAGTGCACCCGCGCCGTCGGGGTTTATGCGAATGCGATAACCTTGGGGACGGAAGTCTGCGGATGAATCACGCTCAAAGATGTGGAATGGTACAGATGGACTCGCGTGTTTGAGCCCCTGAGCGAGAGCGAGCCCTCCAAGTCCTCCTCCGACGATCAAGATTCTGTTTTGGCAAGCGGGTGACATTTTGATGGAAAAAACGAGTAGTGAGTTTGTAGTTTCAAGCGAACAAGTGGTGAAAGAAAGTTCTGGTGAGATGTTGCTAAGTTGAATTCCTATGAAATGTTTTTCCAGTATTTATATATCTTTAAGTAAGAAGCCTTCTACAATAACTTTGCCATTTAGTCAATTTCGTATCATCCGGCTGAAGTATTTCGGGACTTTCTACGATCCGATGCTATCCACCCTGGAGCTATCATCGGGGGATTGCGCGAGCCGAATGAACGCTCTGTCCAATTAAAGGGCTGGTGATCCTCACCTTGCCTGATCGAGCTAAGTTTCGTTAATCAGCCTCAGGCTTTACTGTTTATGGTACGGTTATTTCCCGTCATCATGCTTAGACACATTCCTAGCATACGAGATGAGAAGCATCTGTCTGCAAATCAAGATGGGCTAACCGCGGATTCTATCATTTCTAAAATCACCTGCAGGGGACAATCCTCCCGATGGTTCAATCAAAGCTGGGCAATGTTATCAGTTCCGTCAAAGAGCCCGTGCCGGGTCACGTGTTGCTCAAGTTACATTTATAGATCTAGTACTATAGCCGCCTCTTGACATACGCTGACCTCGTCTGACAGGGCATACCTTGTCTCTCTAAACTCGCTTTATTTTGTCTATTCAAACGTCGTTGCATATTAATGTGATAGTTTCTATTTTTTTAGATTTATAATGATTTATTGTCTTAAATTGTTGGGACCAGATCAATGACGTAGCCCGTCGCTACAGAGACGCGACTCTAAGGCTAATGGTGACGTGGTTGACTCGACTCAAATACTCATGACCTTTACCGTCACAAAACCAAACTCAACACCTCCTCATGAACTCTGCATAATTCAAACAACTCAAACCATACCAATAAATCATCATGTCTCTTCGCATCTCACAATCTCTCAGCCGCGCAGCCCTGCGGCCCAATCGATCAACCCTCCTCAGATCCCCAATCATCGCCCGCCGGTTCCAGAGCACTCAGCAGAACAAAGACCTGCCCATCCTCTACTCTGCGCACGCCAAAGTCGTCGGCGCCCGCAAGGGCCACGTCGAGGCAGAGTCTCTCAACGTCGACCTCACCATGTCCAAAGCCCTCGGCGGCCCTGGCGACGCAGGCAAGACTAATCCGGAGGAGATGTTCGCCGCTGGCTACGGCGCGTGCTTCCAGTCTGCCATGAATGCCGTGGCCGCCAAGGACGGAATCACCATGCCCACTGCGCCTGAGGACAGTATTGTTGAGACGACGGTCCATCTTGTCGGCGACATGAAGAAGCTTGATATGCAGCTTCGCGTGGATATGAAGATTATGGTCAGGGGGTTGGAGAAAGAGAAGATAGAGTCTATTGTTGAGAAGACGAAGAAGATTTGCCCGTACAGTAGGGCCATTGAGGGTAATGTGTGGACAGAGTGCACGGTTGTTAAGCTGGATTAATTGAGGATAGGGGCACTACATACAAGTCAATCTTAACTTGTGTCTTTTAGATTGAGCTGACTTGGCAAATGCATGACATTTTTTGTTTATTTAGACTCGGAATTACTTCAGTCAAACAATTCAATGACAGATGTTATCAAGATGTTGATTACTTGACAATGGACAAAATAGTAAGATAGTAGTAAAAAGAAACAATCCATAAAATTAGGAAATTTAATACGTAATAAAAGCACGGATATAAGATGCTCTTTTCTGGCTTATTCTTTAATCGTTTGAAGACATAACGCGGCTCTGCGCTAAGGCCTATTAGTTGTATCTAGGGTAGCAGACACAGATAAGAGATGATCTACATTAAAACCCAGCTGTACAGAGATGCACACTAAGTCCAGAACGTTTTGACATATGTATCGGCGCCATTGCTGAAATTAAATTATTTAGCCCTGGTTGCGACTCATGGTGCTTGTGTCCTTACTGACCTGATGCCATCTGTCGTCTGATTCAAGCTGGAGGTAAATTCTTGCACCCTAATGCGTCGCCGTACAACCGACATTCTCCGAGACTTATACTGACTAATGGTATAAACATGAAATCAAATAACCCCGTTTACTCAATCAACGCTTCTGTATGAAGCAAACGAGGTCTTCACTTCGGTCCCCTCACATTGGGTAACATCGCGCCCAGTAGACTACGATCCGAGCAACCCTGGTCTCAACAAGCAAATCGTAGTGAGATTTTAGATCAGCCTCACCTGAAGACTGAAGAGGGGAAACCAACTGACACGTGCAGGCCATAATAGGTATCCGTATGTTTCCAAAGGGGAAGTGTTAGACGGATGCGCCGACTCCCGGCCGAGAAGCTCTAGGCATTTCTCTCTCAAGACGCCAGGTGGTGTTGACTCTCTTTGGGCCTCAAGAAGAGAGGATTGGGTACCGTCTCATCTAGACCTCCGTTCCCGAACGGTGGTTGAGTTGTGAAATGAGGCTCTAGGACCTGAGTTACAGGGATCACCAACTGCCGTGGATCCGAAGGCTCTCGGTGAACATTTCAGCTCTGGACAAGTGCATTTACGTAGTAAGGAGACCAGCCTCTTCTGCATATAGTCTGACCATATGCAAGATGCAGTGGTACCACGATGCCAATAAAGTAGTCACAATATGGTCCCGATAAAGCGACATGTTGAAGCCATGTTGCGGGGTAATGCAGCACCGGATGTCGGTGGAAGCAAGCTACAGGGGTGTTATCACGAAGTTTTGGACTCTGAGCTGGGAGCTCCAACCCAAGGTCTAGCTGAGAGTCTAGTGATAGTTTATTTCTTCCCCCCCCTCGCTAAAAACTCATTGCTAAGCCAGTCTCGTCTTGATGTTTCTCGATACACCCGAGTTCGGATCATCGCCAGTGTTTGTGCCGAAACGGTCCCGACGAGGCGTTACGAGCAAACATTGGACATGCATGGTAATGCAATGCGTTCAGGGTCATCAATGGCTATTTGCTACCATCTGATCCTGGCCACGTCTCACTGCTTGATCACAGCACGATAAATGGGTTGCTGGGTCGATCGTTCGGTAATACGGCACAAACCCGTCAGCCCGGTACAATATACGAGGCCGGTGTTACAATAACAAAATGTAAACGCTCAAGTCTACCCGAGGTTTCAATTACCTCGAAAATATTTTTCTCAGTCTCATAACCTCGCATTGCTATCCCACGAGAGATGCAACAGCTAATGATCAGACCATGACGAAATCAAACCCAATTCACCGATGCTGTGTCCACCTTAAATCTGCATTCCCTGTGTATATCCCCAAATCATTGGGCTCTGGGAACTGTCAGCTACAAAACTATTGACAGGGCTATCGAGCAGCTATTGGCAAGGCTTGCAGTAGCAGAAACCTTGTCGCGCCAATCCCCCGCCACCAAAATCTGTGGCGAGGAATCACTGGCGGTTTTTTCTTCTGTGGCACTCTATACCGGCCCTGACCATACCCGAAATAATCGCCGTTGGGCGTACTAAGAGCGGGTGTTCCTTTCCACTACCGTCGACGTCGTTGTTGAACATACACTTGAGGTATTTTTAGATCCACCGCGACGACCCCTTTGGGCTCTTTTTCTTAACTGAACCGAATTTTTGGGGATAGCTTATTGTTTGTAGCGTTCTGCTTCTCTCCGAACTAATAATGGCGTGATTTGAAATCAACATCATCAATACATCTTGATTCAAGTCTAGACTTGAAGATCGATCTGAGACTAGCGCGCTGATCCTACGCATTGACACTCCCCGGACTTGTCAGGTTTCGTCTATCTCTTGACTGGACACTAAGATCTCACTCTTATGTTAAGGCTGACAACGATCAAGGATCTCAAGTCCAGGTACCAGGTTCAGGCACAAACAACAAACGTGCCTCAAATCGCAATGCCGAGGGGCCGATACCTCTACAAAAGTGGCTTTATTATCCTACGTGGCAGGGCGGCTCAACGTGGTATCACCAGAACGTGTAACAGCTAGCCTCGATTTAGCGCAAGCCATGCTTATTACCGTGATGGCCTGTGCTAGTGGGACGAGAGGCTCTCGACCGTTGAATTGCCGTTCTCGTCTTGGGCGCGGAGAGAATTTCTCACCAAACATTACCCAGGTTGGGTCTACGCTAAGCGAAGCTCGTGATCCACAATACCCCATGTTTTCACAAGTCTGACGAAAGTACGGAGCAAAGAAGAGTCTTTTCAGGTTCAAATCGCCTCTTTTGGACAGCTAAGGTTGACTAAATACTATGTACGAACCCTCTTCTGTCCCATCGGCCAAGGCATCATCCCAATCCACCATCAAAGGAGTGTGAGAAACGAAAGTAGGTACAGCTAACAAGCGTAGATACAAGACTCTGGGTAGTATGTACAAGATAATCGCTTACTCCTTGATGGACTTGTAGCCGCCTCCCTTGCCACCCTTACCGCCCTTGTAGATGTTGATGTTGATGGTCACGGGCGCATTGAAGTCAATTTCACCAATGCACATTTGGAACTGATTACTGTGAGAGACGCGCGAAGAACGGGGATAAGGTACTTACGCCGCTGTTGTTGTTGCAGCAAATGATCTTTGCGTTGCAGACCTCAGAGTTGGAGCAGGTTTGAGCTTTAGGGTGTCAGGTTACTCACACAGTAGGAGAGAAAAAGAGAAAAACTTACTTCCGTCAGCGCTGGTGGTGCAGCAGTACTGAGTTCCAGAAGAACAAGCGTTGCCCTGGTTGTTAGTCGGAGCGGGACAGTCCTTGTCACTGCCCTTCTTAGCTCCTTCACGCAGATCAAGTTAGATTCACAACTTTATCATCTTTCGGTGAACTTACGACGAAGAGCTGGCATTCTGGGCCAGGGAATGTCTCCCATGGAAGGTGCTCTAGGCTCAATGTCTCGAGCCTCAACCTCAACAGCCGGCTCAGCGACAGGCGAAGCAATAGCGCCTTGCAGAACGGCGAGGCCGTAGAAGATGGTGGAGAATTGGAGCTGCATGATAGCTTAAGGCACAAGGCGAAGCTGAAGACAGAAGAGTGAGAGTGAGTGTGTGTGCTCGAGTAATGTGAACGAGTGGAGTAGTGATGCCGAAGATAGTTTGAGGGAGACAGAGACTGGTATTTGTGCAGATGTCTTGAAGTACATGTCCCGTAAGTTGAAATTCCAAATTCGCACCCGTTGCTACTGTGGACGCTTAGATGACAATAAATGACATAAGTGCCGTCTGTGTTAAGGTTGGCCTGCTCGTGTTGGGGACTGCGGATGTCGGCGTTGGGTCAATGCGCATATGCATGGTGATCCGGGGTATACGGCCATAACCAATATTCAGCCGGCCATGATATGAGCCACTGAATAAGCTTTTTAGTTTTGGGACTTTGGCCTTTGTGACGAGAGCTATTGAACTTTGCTTTTAGTATCCCCATATCCATCTAGTTGAGACCGTTTTAAACGTCTCGTGTCTTACACGTGATTCCAAGTCACTGCACCCTAGTTGTTCCCGAGTTCAAGACTAGTAGATCAATTGTTTGGAGTTTCGTGGTAGACAGAGTGTACTGCTTATGCTGTGAGGCCCGAGACTGAGGCGTGCTGCAACATCTGTGCTGTTACATGCGTCAAGCCCTCGCTTCTGTTGGTCCATCTTCCCCTGCTGATCCGGGTCTCGGCCTCCGAATCGATCAACACAACCAATGAATCACTCTGTCATTGAAGCCTAATTCGCCGATGCATCCTCGCCTCCGTTGGTTTCCTTTATGCATTACATGTGCTGTACTCACAGGCTGTCGTTGCGGCTGAGAAGCCATGCTTGTGTCTTTTGCTCACCTCGCCCGATCATTCGGAATCTCGGTGCCGACGTAACATGAAGTATTGGACTCAGCTCATCCGGACTATCGCATGAGGCTCAACCTAGACCTGGGTCTCGATCCAGCCTCTTGTCCTGCCCTCCAACGATTTCACGATGTTTGTTCAGTTGTGGAGTTAGCCAACCCCTCGTTGGGCTTGCCTTTGCATGAGTTCGGCGTTCACTATGGTCTAAGAGGCAGGAAAAGAGTTCGATAGCTTCAAGTTCAGCTGACACAAGTCCACTTGGGCGTCAAGAGACGGCATCGTGAGGTCTCAAGTTGAACAAGACATGCATTTCTATGAGACCAAAATGTGTATATAAGGACTACTATTCTCCCCCTAAACTCGTCTTTTCTTCATCACTCACTCACTCAGCCATCAACTCAGATCTCAAATAAACTCTTCAACACTCTCTTTCGAGACAATCACTTCTTACCATCCTTCAACATGAAGTTCACCGCCTCCGTTCTTGCTCTCCTTGCCGTTGCCACTGGCGCTCTCGCCTCTCCTCATGGTGGACCTCCTCCTCCACCTCCTCCCCCTCCCCCTCCCGCCCCCAAGAACAACAACAACAACAATCAGCAGAACCAGTGCGGCAACGGCCAGTCTCTCTACTGCTGCACCTCCGCTGGCAACAAGGCCGATGTTGAGTGTGTTTCTTTCACCAACGGTGGCCTTGGAGGTGTTTGCAACGGTATCCAGATGTGCTGCAACAACAACGTGAGTACACTAACATCCCAGACCTGGATGCGATTTGCTAACTAGGACGTAGAACGGCAACCAGGGCTGCAACTTTAACGTTGGCGGTGGCACCATCACCATCAAGAAGACTGTCAAGAACTTCGGCTGGTAAAGGGTTTTACCCCTCTATCGATCATGGTGACTTCGGCACTTGAGTCACTGACTATGATACATCGATATTTACGAAGATCTACGATCATTTGACACACGAAACCTTCACGATCATTACTACGCGATGGATGAATGAATTTTGAGATTGATATGGAATGATTCGCTTCTGCCGGTTCTGGTAGGGGATGGCTCTGGCCAAGCCGTCCTCGAACATTACCATCCACACGCTTCTTGGCAAGCATTTCTTGGGATCTAGTTAGTTGCTAAGTACATAACAATGAAAACATATCTGGTTGTTGGAATTTCTCGTCTCCTAAGGCAAAGTGATTTTAAGTTCCTTGTCATAATTTAAGCTCTCAGCCACAAGTGTCATCTGCAAACAACAAACTAGGCTTATGACTTATTAAAGCTGATACGTTAAGCTCTCGCTTATGACTCTCTAGCAGGCAGCTGGCTGCGCTCGCTTTGAATAGAGCAAGTCTTCAGGTTCACAATCACCACCATGGGCGAGTTTGATGGAGTTCAAAACTTCATTTGAACTTCAGTTTGTTTGATGTTGTAAGAAAAGGATAAATTTATGATTTGAAACCTAAAGGATTGATTTGATACGTCGATGGCGACTTGTGCTTAAAAAAGAGGGAATCCTGTCGAACTCGATGGGAGAATATTGACGCGATAAGCCGCCACGAATGGCAATGGGTGAGTATCTTTCTATCGGTAGATCGGAGTATAAATGATGAAGAGAGCCTCGAGTAGTAAGATAGAGGACAAGCCACTAGGCGAAAAGGCGATCTTTTGACAAGGCCGGTGCAGCTAGAGAAATCCTTTATATCATGGCCTTGAGTGATAAGGAGATGGGCGTCATTTCGCCCATGCCGGCGGGTCGATGTGAACTGTGAGATCAAAGTACGAGCAGGAATACAGCAAATTGGGCGCAGAAACGTGTGGTGCAGTTCACCGCCAACGTGCAGCCGGGGTATTTGCTTGTATGAAGCCCTAGACCAAAAGGCGTCAAAATGCTATCGCTGAAATAGAGTCCAGTGATAAGTCCCACGGTGACCGAAGCGATTACCTTGCTGCGGATGTTCATTGTGATTGCAGTTACTTTGAATGAACTCCTGAGAGAGATGAGTCTTGCAGGTCTGATTTGTGGGGTGATATTGGTCTTGCGGGGGAAGCTTGAGTAGAGGATAAAGGAGAAGAATAATAAAGGAAAAGACGGGGCAAGGACGAGATTTATTGATGAAGAATAAGAAGACAGAACCTTATGAGTATTTACCTTTTGTATCTGAATTGTAAAGCTGGTCTTGATGTTGTTAGGCAAAGCTTGATGACAGTGAAAGTTTGCAGAATTCCAATGGGAGGTATGAAGCTTGGAATAAACTTTGGGCGATGGATTGGGATTAAATGATTACTCGCCAGTGCTAAAGCGGATATCTTTTTTATTGATTGATCTTTAATTCTGGCTTACTTAACTTCGTGCTGGCTACACAACTGCGTAGCTGATCGTGCGCAATGAGGTTAAACTTTGGGCACAGTTAATATTTTAACATTGGTGACTCGGAAAGAATATGGACCAACTGAAAACCTGTGCATGAGCATTACCGAAGACTATCTGGGGCCAGGTAGCTAGGGGAACTCATTGCAAGAATCTTAACGGTCTCAATCATTGATCACCAATCCTTGTATATTACGTGTAGATCGATTGAATGCTTATGGAACTGATACCTCCTCCTTGATAATTTAGTGTTCAAAAAGATCACAAGAAGGTTGCGAATTGCAGCTTATCATGTGAAGGCATGGAGTTAAGTAGAAATAGTCGGTCTCTGGCTCCGAAGCCGAAACGCAAAATCCGGAAATTTATCAGCACGGAATTCGGCGAAACTGCGTCGGGACATCATTGGTTGGCTGCATAATATGCCCCACCCGAAGCAACTTTTATCGAGGCTAAGAGCTGACTTGATGTATTTGCTATCAACACTGCCGCGAGCCCGCATTAGCTGGACTGACTTACAAATCAGCGAGGAATAGAACCTAATAGTAAGAAGATTGACAAGAATTACTATATAAGTGCTGGTTTATGCTGTCTGATATTAGTGACATCTCACCACAAGACATTCCAAGCTCTCAAACTTGACTCTTACTCCACTAAACTTACTACATACCAACGCAAACAATACAATCCCCAATACCAAAATGTCCCACCCAATCATCTTCAACGGCAGTCTCGGTCTAGGCCTCATGATAGTCGGCCTCGGTCTCAACGCAATCCTCCGCCCAAACGACCATCTCCAACGCCTAGAGTTTCCCATCCCCACTGAACCTCTGGCTAAAAAGTTCAGTCTCGCGCTCATGCGGATCTGGGGCATTCGCAACATCACTGTCGGCGTCTTGATCTCCATCATCTGGACTATAGGGGATGAGAACCTAATGGCCAAGGCCCTGAGTGCAGCGCTGGCTATGCCCATTACTGATGGGTTTGTGAGTCGGATTATTATCGGCGGTGGTGAGACGCAGCATTGGGTGTTTCCTCCTTTGCTTGTGGTAATGATTGTTGGGTTGTTTGGATACTTTTAATGCAGGTTCTGTGCGTTGCTATACTAGTCTATGTGCTCAACCATTGTGCACTTTGCCCATGGAGAAGAGCTTTATTGATTACGTGTTGCCGCACCTCGTTTTCCCCACCGTCTTATACGCGTATTCAGTATTCATAAGAGAAGTTCCACAGAGTGCAACGTCAGCGGTGAGGCGATGCTAGCCTAATTCAGGTAATTTTCGTATTTTATAGGGATTTTCGCATCTATACACCCAAGTACTGACTTTTCGCATGGACTTTTCCGCGTATTATATACAATAGTGTCAAGCGTTCCCAAGTAATGACATCAGCGATCGGCCATTTGCTGATATAAAATGGGATTGTCTCGGTTTAGGGAAATGCTTCATTCATTCTTTATACATACTGCCAGATGAACCTCAAGATGCGTCTCTTGTCGAAGGTCTGCGTTCCCGCGCTTGCGGTGCTTGTGTCATTTGTTACGTCTGGACATGCAGAGGACCAATGTCGATGCGTAAGCTACTTTACATATGCCTCGTACGCTCTCTCACAGTTTCTTAGACAATTCGCCAATCTTGTTGGCCCTCTACAGAAACCTGGGACTCGTTGAACTCTACGGTCGACGGACATCTGATCCGGTACATCCCACCAGGTGCTGTTTGTTACAAGTCCCACCCTAGCTACAGTCCTGCTGCCTGTGATAAGGTCATTAAACAATGGTCTGAGTCAAAGTTCCACTCTAGCGACCCTGCCAGTCTACACACCGAATGGGCCAACGCTGGCTGCACTCCAGTCTATGAGAACGGAACCAGCATCTACGGCGATGTAGAAGCTGGTGAGCGAGGTTGTTCCAGTGGAGCGCTTCCCGCCTATGTTGTCAACGCTACTACGGTAGATCACGTTGTTGCAGCAATGGAGTTCGCTGGTGAACATAATATACGATTGGTCATCAAGAACACTGGCCATGCTGGTAACGGAAGGTAAAGCAGAATCACCACGGCATCTTGATGCATATATGCCTGCTAACCTGGTTTAGGAACCTGGGAAATAGTACTTTGTCGTGAGTAAAGTCGCAATCCAATCTGCGCGCAATACTAACCTCTGTGTCAGAATCTGGACCCATAACTTGAAGAGTATCGATCTGCGTCAAGACTTTAACCTGACTTGCCCCAATGCCCAAGACGCCCCAAGCACTTATATGGCAGCCACCGTTGGTGCCGGTGTTCAAGACGGCGAGATGTTTGAAGCTTTGGCAGCACAGAACGCGTTGGCGGTTGGCGGTACCAGCAATGTGAGTATCGTCCATCATTCGTAGTGCCTGTGCTTGACTGACATTTGCCAAAGGATGTGGGAGTTGTCGGCTGGGCCACTGGAGGCGGTCATGGGTTCGCAACAGGAAAATATGGCCAGGGGGCGGATAGCATCCTCGAGGCTGAGATTGTCACACCAGCAGGCAACTTCCTAATTGCCAACCAGTGTCAGAACCAGGATCTCTATTGGGCTATTCGCGGCGGCGGCGGAGGCACATTTGGTGTCATTACAAAGCTAACTGTCAAGGCCTATCGTGCACCGACAGTGGTCATAGGAGGCTTTGACATCAGAGCCAAGAACCAGACCTCGGAAGAGGAGTTCTACAAGGTCATCGCAGATGCCCATACGCTCTTCCCTGCGATTCAAGACGCTGGTATCCATGGTTATTATACCGTGAATGGCCCTCCTGAAACTGAGGCGTTGACTTTCAGCGGATCGTTTATGGGCTTTGATATTTCTAACAAGACCTATGAACATGCCCTTGAGCCATTCAGAAAGATGCTTGCAGCATCCAACAGTACTATTAATTGGTCTTTGACTAAAATCCCCGTTAGCACTTGGCAGGGCCTGCTCGAGGTGTTGCCCGACATTGGGACGGTCAGCCCAGGCTACGGCATTAGCGCCTCTCGATTGATCTCACGACTGACAGTCACAGAAAAAAGAGAAAAGTTTGCAGCTGTATACAGGAAGATCGGTCCTACTAAGGACGCACCATCGGTATAGATATGAACATGTTCCTGTCCTATTCACAGCGCTAACAGACCCTCAGAATGGCTTGCCTAACCTCTCTATATCCGGCACCCTCACCATTAGCCCCAAGCCTGTCAACAACTCTTTACATCCTTCCTGGCGAAATGCGACAGTCCATCTGATCACAGGCCAAAGCTGGACTGACGCTACAAAGGACACTGAAGTCAGAAATATCGTTCATGATATGACATTTAGAAAACTCGCATTGCTGAAGGAACTGGATCTTGCGCAAGGCGCCTACTTGAATGAGGTAACATGGTGTCCTAGGATCACTATCGACGCACTTGGCTGATTGGTGTAAATAAGGCAAACTCGATCGAACCTGACTGGCAGTGGTCTTTCTGGGGACCAAACTACGCACGACTTCGTGATATCAAGGAGAAGTATGATCCTAAAGGCCTCCTGTGGTGTCCTCAGTGTGTTGGTAGTGAGGACTGGGTCCAGCGACATGATGGTAGACTCTGCCGAGCGTTTAACCCTTGGTAAGCTCAGCCATCTTTTATTAAACACTCCTTTTGAGAATCCCTCCATGGGGACATAACCGAGGCGTCATCAAACATGATAGCAAGACCTAGGCTTATGGCCATTTACTATATAGTTGAGTGAATATTGTAATTGCATGACTACGTTTGCCTACTCCGTCCAATCCATTGACTGAAACGTGCCCATCGTGTCAAAGATACTATCATGCATCCAAGTTCCCAGATCAATGTGATGGTCTCCAAGTATCGACTCGAAGTTACTCCAAACCTCTAGCTGTGCCGGGTCATCTGCCACAAGGCCAGGCTGAAAGTCATCCCGCGAGACCTGTAAATTATCCTCAAATGTCAAGATAGTGTTGCTTGCATCGTGGTCACTTTCTATCGTAGAAGCGACGAGCCTATCAAATGCGTTTCGAGCCTTAACCGCTCTCGGCCACCGCTCGGAGATGATGTACAGCATCGTGCTACACGCTCGAACGCTGCTGCTGAACTTGGGACTAAAGATTGACGAATCGAGGCAGAAACAGTAAACCATTACCAACCCGGCGACGAAGTTGGCATGTAGCGAGAGCAAAGAAAAAGAGATGTAAGTCTGCTGGTCGTGAAGGCGTTTTGAAAGGGAGCAGACCTGTCCGGCGGAGTGGACCACCTCGTGGAAGGTCGGGCTTTGTGGCGTGAGGGTGGGTAAGAAGGGGAGGTTTAGGAGTATGATGGCTTTATGGTACTGAATCATATGGTAATCAGTCGTGAGGTAAGGATGAGGCTTGTTCTCAGGATCAGTCTGAGGGATAGTAGCCTTCCATTCCTCCAAAGCTTGTCGAAGACGATCGACTTTGTGCGGTTTTATCGCGGAGACATCCTTGTCAACGCGACATACCGTATATGAAATCTTGGAATCGATCTGTTGCAGCCGAAAGATATGAATAGCTGGCGTGAGTGTGGTGATCTGAGAAGGATGTTGTTTCGACTCAGAAATTGCTGCAAGGATGGCTTCGTCAGTGCCCAGCTCATCGTCGATGTTGGCTGGGAGCGGGACGTCAATATCTCTATCGGAAATAGAGTGAGGTCGACCCATGGTCCGCGCGATTGATCTCTCCAACATGTATGTCGTCCAGAAGATCCGTTTCCGTCTCTCATCGAGAGTTGGAGGGATGTTGGTGGCTTGTCGATGGAGGCCATTATCGATACAATACCGCATTGTTATCTCGATCATCCACCTGATTGTCGTTAGATTGCTCGTTCTGTGATCGATCTCCGCCAATTGTGCGGTGGTTGCTTACCAGACCCCAGGACCTGTCGGAGACCTTAATTGATATATCGTGAGCAGAAGCATCGCCTCCAAGCTCTCGAGACTACCTGTTGCAAAGATACTGTCCGCATCTGCCATCGCGCAGGCATAGTGTCGCTGGGTTTCTCAAGTCAGATATGTAGATCGTCTTGGGGGATAAATCCTAACCTTTGGAGACGAATAATGATCATCATCGTTGCTCAGCTGCAAGTAACGTGCTCCGATGGCATACACTAGTTGCAAGGTTGCATAGTCGCATCTGCTCCACATAACTTCGGAACGCACAGCCTTATGCGCTGGTACGAGCTCAAGTCTAGCCTCGTGTAGCGACAGGACTCTTTTCCGAGGCAGGAAGGGATGTTTTGGGTGCACCCTTGCATAGTAGGCCTCAATGAGCTTGTCGCCGACTTCCTTGCTGGGAAGGTCTGAGCCGTCAGACACTTGGCTGCCCTCAGAGTGCTGCCTTGTGTTGGCACGCATGCCTATTGAAGACCGTGCCGCGACATTGACTTGATGTGAAGTTTCTGCTCGATCACTTTGTCGTGCACCTACTGAGGGTAATGCCGATCGAAGGAGTTTGGTAAGAGGATACCCGCTTGAAGTCCCCAGAAAAGAATCCGGCGAAGGAGCAACAATCCCAGCGCTGGCTTCCAAGTCCGAACTTGCGGTCTCGTTCAAGTTTGTGGGCTCAGTCTCATTTGGACCAGATTGGGAGTCAAGTATCTGTTGCTGGATAGAAGAATGGCTCGTTGGAGTGACGGCATTTTGTCGCGGGGAGGCTACTTCTTGTTGCAGCCGTGAGATTTGACGCTCAAGAGACTTCACATACTCTGCTGGGTACGCTTGCTTGGCACCATAGGAGCACTTCTCCCCCGCAGCGAGGCAATTCGAACATGCTGGGAATTCATTATCGCAGCGCTGCTTGCGGCTCTTGCATCGACGGCATGCTACAAGACCTCTAGGGCGACGACGAGTAGGCCTTGCGCTTGACGATTCGGTTTGTGAATGGGACATTAGAGGAGGTTGAAAGGTCCAAGTTTACAGGGGGCCAAAGCCATTATTACCCCACCTCTAGTGGTGGCGCTGTACTTCTGTAATAGTGCTTAGTAACTAGTTCAATCCCAAGGTATGTTAGTGCCTATCGGACTGAGCGTTGGTTTGAGAGAGAGTCAGCATGAATTTATATATCAGACTTGTGAATATGTTATCAGACGTTACAATAAACTCGTAATTGATTGCTCATAACATCCTGTGGATATGCCGAGCAGAGTGAGATCTCAATGCCTCTAGTGACTACAATCTAGGTGGCGAGCACTGCCTGTGTCGACTCGGGTATATAGCTATATATGGCCCAATTTAAAGGGTTGGATTTTACAATGCTTATAACAAAGTGCTTTATTTACAATCTTAAAGGCATTTCAGCTCCCTAACCACGCCCTGCAACAACTGGACCTCTCCAATATCTTAAGGTGCTGGCGACCCTTTCTCAATTTGAGCCACTTCCTGTTTCTCTTCCCTCCCATTGTCAATGTTACTTCTGTGATTAACCGATCGACTATGCCCGGCAATAGAGACTGTTTCAAATATATTGTTGCTGTCCAAGAAGATAGCGTCGACCTCTTCCAAGTGAAGGCCGCTAGTCTCAGGGAAGAAGAAGAATACGCCTGGGGGAGACTATCAGAACTCGCTAACTACAACAAACAAATGACATAGAGGACTTACTGGGGAAATTGAGACATATGTTGATGGCAGCGTAGATGATGTAGTATCTGTACTTAAGAGTAGCCAGTCCAATGGGAGTAATTTCTGCAACAACCTATGAACCCCAGAGTTAGGCCTTGATTTATCAGATGCAGGTAATCAGACTTACAAAGTTGAATAGCCAGGCGGTGGCTAATACTTGTTAGCGAGAGGCGCGAATCTAATTGAGAATGATGAGCCTACCAGTTGACATGGCCGTGATGGGCACTCGATGGCTAAGGGGCGAGATCTCCGCAGCATACAGGAATGTAAGTCCAAGAAACCCAGTAGGAAAAAATAGCGAGAAAAGGAATATGAAGGCCGCCGCAACTCCCACCGAAGCCGTGTTCCCCGGCTGCGATGATCCGCCCGCAACAACAGCCATACAAACACCCATCCCCAAAGACGACACCATCATCAGTTTGCGACGCCCGAACCTATCCACTGTCAAGACACCAATGGGCGAGCAGATGGTCTGCCAGGTAAAGACCGAAGCAGCGATGATCTTTGCCGCCCTCGGAGTTTGGCCAAGATAGTCCTCGAAGATCTTGGCTTGGTAGAAGGCAAGGGCGTTGATGCCGCTCATTTGCTGGAAGCATTGCGCCGCGCAGGCGAGGCACATGCGGTGTAAAAGGCGGAGAGGGCCGTTGGTGAAAATGTCCTTGAGCTTGGCTTCTCCTGCGAGGGCCAGGGATGTCTCGATTTCGCGGATTGCCTCACGCACCTGAACGGAATTTGCGTCCGTGTCTGTCAAATCGGCTAGAACTTCTCTTGCGCGGTCGAGCCGGCCCTTCTTGGTCAGCCAGCGTGGTGATTCCGGGAGCAACGGTGTAGTAAGCATAATGATGATGGAAAACACCCCGGATAGGGCCATTGGGAATCGGAAAGTGACAGAGCCGTGATGGAAGGACATGCCCAGATTCGTCCAGCCTCCGATGGCCAGGCCAAGGGAGATGAATAAGCCTTCGAGCATCACCGCTGCACCGCGATGGGCAGCGCCAGAACACTCTGCTTGCCAGTTGGGAGCTGTGGCTGTGATATGTCCGAAACCGTATCCAGAAACCAATCGACCGACTATGAGTTGCGGCAGCGAGTAGGAGGAGGCTTGGAGAGATGCGCCTATCGTGTTGACCAAGGCGCCGAAAATGATGGTCTTCTTCCGGCCGAGCTTGTCGCCTAGCCAGATGCAGCTGAGACAGCCGAAGAGACAGCCCAGGGTGTACATGGCCACGACTGTTCCCTTTTAAGAAACTAAGTCAGTAAAATAGTTCCGAAATGGAGGGAGGTAAGCGGCGTACTTGGAGGGTCGAGTTATGGTCTTTGATAGCCCCTTTGGTGTGCACGGTGTCGAGGGCAGGAAAGGTTTCGACCCACGACGGAAGACTGAGAAAGCCCCCAGCGATAGAGTTGTTATAGCCAAATCTGCAAATCGAAACAAACTAGTCAGCTGTTACCATGCTCCAGCAAACTCATTCGTGTGCGTTCAAAAGCTTGACTGACTTACAAGAGATAACACGGCAGAATGACCGCCCAGATCTGGGCCATCTGGAGTTTCCTCCCTCGAAGTCCAAAGAAACTCATCTTTTCCCTCGATGAAAAAATTCTTGCAAGTTTAGCTGACTTGAGAAACAAGAGCTAAGGTAGGGCGACCAAGTAGACTGTGGAGAAATGTTTGTCAGAATCTGGGGAACTGGGGAAATGTGTCGCCTTTTATCATAGCAAGGATCCAACCCATTCTGTCGCAGACTAATGGCAATTTGGGTCTCTTCACAGCCTGCGGTGCTGTATTAGCCATAACGCATCAGTGGTCTTGTTAGTCAGTCGGCTCAACCGACAGACATTGTTGCGGGTGGATCGGCACCCGAAAGATCGGCTGAGCCGACGGAACAACCGATGACGTCGGAACAGCCAGCGAGCTGCCTACCAGGTCAATATAAGCAGTGATAGTTCCAATCCTGCTTTTTTACAATTGAACCATTTCTTCGATATAAATTTATTTATTAATTGAATACATTGGCTATCCTCGGCTGTATCGCTGCAATGGCTACTCGACGCCTCGCCACCTGGTCTCACAACCTCCGGTACTCGGACCTTCCGGAAGATGTGACCCGTGCAGCTATTCGAAGCTTTTACAATTGGGTTGGTTGTACCATAGCAGGTAGTCAGCACGAAGCTACAACGATCGCCGTAAGCTCAACACCTACTTAGCCAAACAATAGCTAACATGGGCTACTTGCCGGCAGCACCAAACACTGTCACCCTTCTTCGGCCCACCTACAGCATCTCTCCTTGGATATCAGGGATCTTCACGTTTAGATGCTCAGCATGCGGCGTTGATCAATGGCATAGCATCGCACGTCCATGATTACGACGACACGCACCTCGACACCATCATCCATCCCACTGGACCTGTTGCGAGCGCTCTTCTTGCTGTTGCCGAGTGGAGAGGCGGTATCTCAGGGAAGCAGTTCATTACCGCTCTCGTGGCTGGTATAGAAGCTGAATGTAAGGCCGGACTTGCTGTCTGGCCGGAACACTACGATGTTGGCTGGTAAGTTTGCATGCATTCATACGTCGACTTGACCAACTTACAGCCCTCAAGGCATATTACCTCCACCGTCGGTTCAATTGGAGCAGCAGTTGCAGTCTCAAAGATCTTAGGGCTTTCTCCAACAAAGACTACCCATGCAATTGGTCTCGCAGCAACTCAAGTCACTGGCCTTCGAGAGATGTTCGGTTCACACTGCAAATCATTCCACGTTGGGCGCGCTGCTCAAAACGGCCTTGTAGCTGCTGTCATGGCTGAAGGGGGCTACACTAGCAGTCAAGGTGCACTGGAGGCGAAACGTGGCTGGGCTGCAGTTGTCGGCGCCCACAAGCAAAACGCGCTTCGAACCCTAGATCGTTGGCTCAATACTGAGAATGAGGACGGCTTAGCTCGTGACAACACAGGCCGCTGGGAGATTCTGAGGAACAGTTTCAAACCCTTCCCGTGTGGAATTGTCATACACCCTGTCATCGACGCTTGCACACAAATACACGCGGAACTGACGAGAGAGGGACACACCCCAGCGGAGATCGAGTCTGTGACGGCGCAAGTACACCCTCTTGTCCTGGAACTTACCGGGAAGAAGACTCCAAAGGATGGCCTGGAGGCAAAGTTCAGCGTCTACCATAGTGGCGCATGCGGACTCCTCCTCGGCAGGGTCACGCCACTGGAGTACGAAGATAATGTTGTACTCGATCCCGCAGTCATTGCCATCCGCGATCGCATCACAGCAAATATCGACACAAGCATCACAGCAGACGCGGCAAAGGTCGCTATTTCCCTTCAAAACGGACAGGTATTGACAAAATACGTCGATCATGCTGTTGGCAGTCGTTCAAACCCTCTGAGCGACGCGAAACTGCAGGAGAAGTTCATTGATGGATGCAAGAGCGTTTCAATACGTGACGCTGAAGCAGTGAGCCAACGGTGCTGGGCGCTGGATGCTGTGGATGATATCCGGGAACTTGTAAAGCATCTGTAGCTGCTGGAGACGTATTCATAGTGGCAGGGCCTCTTTCATCAATGCCCAAGAGAGCACCAGCCCGTGTTCTTCACCGCTAAGTGAACGTCTCCATGTGCCGTCTGAGCGCAATAGTTTCGGTAAATAATAGAGTTCCGGCAGACTCATTTCGCAGATCATGCATTATGCAAGGGGGGGGGGGGTTGGTGATTGATATCAAGGACTGGTATTCGCTGCTTGATGTCGGTGACGCACGTTTAAAGTTTAGTATTCCGGTCTTTCCGAAATTTTACGCTCAACATACAAAGCACTCCGTATATAACTCCTATTTCTTCTACTCTGCAGGGAGGTCCTAAGTCTGAAACATTATCAACATATCTAAAATCCACACTATACAGCTGTGAATCGACACTAGATACGATAGTTCACTATGAAGTGTAGTATACTTATCTCATTGGTTGCGTCCTGGATTTTAACAGTCTCTGCTTCGAAGCACACAACTTCGAAGTGCCGTCCGATTTCCGGCGATATCTTATTCCACAATCAATTCCAACTCTATCCGTCTTTCTTTCGATGGGATGATCAGCGCTGCGTTCTATACCTCAGGTATGCGCTCCATGGCATGTAGTGGCCAGTTTAAGCCTAATAGTTCGTCACAGCTCGATCTACAACGCGAGTATCGCCGTCTGGGATCCCTACAGCTCATCAATCCAGCGGATTATCTCTATCCCTGGAATAACCCACAGCCTAGACAAAAGACTCTCTGGGACTATCATCGAACCCACAAACAATGTCCTGTCTGCCGTCGTAGAGGCCGCTTCATTCTTTGTAAGCGCGGGAAACGACGTGAGCGGCGATAACTTTGTTGTCAAAGTCGATCTCAACACTTTTGATACCAAGAAGATTAACCTGACTGCTGTCACCAAGGGCCAGTACGGGGCGTTTCTTGACATTGATAATGGTCTTTCTGGAGATCTTTACGTCAATGGTGCTTATCCATCCAGTCTCCTTCACATTGACTGCGAGGATAGAGTCTCACCTTTCTACGTCCGCGAGCCAACCACTCCTCCACGTTCTTTTGGGTTCGGAGGAGTGGTTCGAGTCGATGACACTCTGATCGTCAGCGACAATACCAACCATCAGCTCGCCAAGTTCACTATTCACAGTGGCCATCACTCACCAGTTGTTATCCCACAGACAAATTATCACAATTTCTCTGGTGGAAGCTCCCTAAGCCTACCTCACCGTTACTGCGGAAAGGTTATGTTGATGGCAGAAGATGTCATTGCAAAGAATACCTGCGGTGTCTCAGTGTTTAGCTCGAAGGATAGCTGGAAAACTGCCAATTTCTTGGGCTTCATAGAGAGTATTGACAGGAAGTTGGAGCCTACCTCGGCTATCAGTCAGACTTCTGCGCATGAGCTTGGCGATCGCATTTATTCAAGCGTGCTGTTCTATGACAACAAGGTCAATCCTACGATGGCGGGTAACAGGACTGACTTTGCTCTGCGGGATATCACGGATTCGGTCGACTCCCTACTTAGGGCAAACGGATTTGATATATAGCGGTGTAGCCATTCATGAATTCAGAATAGTGGGTAGACCTCGGATGTCATAGTAGTAGTCTCTCGCTTACTTCCCCACTGGTAGACAATGATTGGAGTGGTTACAGGGCTGATCTCTTTATACGAAAACCTTGTCGGCTAGCACGGCCCACGAGGAGTCGAAGCGGTACCTGAACTCGGTTGTTAAGCTAGAGCTACCTACTCCAGATCAACTGATGTTGTGTTGCACGTTGTTTTCATCTCTTCACGACCTCGGAGTCCAGCTCAGTACATGGCGTGCATCATGCTGGGTTCTGTGGGTAAATAATCGCAAATAGATCCAGCATCACCATAGTAATCAGAGACCACTAATACTAGCATCTTGAGACATTGTATTACGTAGAATTTGACTGCGATTCGGCAAATGAGGAAAGTAAGGAGGCAACGTAAACCAATTTGCAGCAAAGAGGCAATAGAGAACATATGCCATACCTAGCCACAAGCATTGGCGGAACCTCGGCGGACCAACATACGTCGTCCGCGGAGCTTCGAAACTTACATAGATTAATGGGCCCATAAACCACCATTAATATCAGTCGTCTGGTAGAATACAGTTTTAATGAGCCATGATTACGAGTAACTAGTAACTCAACGATGTGGATCCCGTTTCAGAAATTAGATATATATGTCACGTCAATCACTACTCGCATCATTTCGTCCAAGAGTATTCACAAGATCTAAACTTCGACAGTTCTACTCAATCTAACAATGCGCTTCACTTCTCTCATCGCTGCAATTGCTTCGGCATATCTAGCCTCCGTCGCATCGGCATGCCAGCCAGACGGCACCATTGGAAGCTCATTGCCGGCTTCTAACCTCAATTGCTGCAGTGGCTGTGCTTGGAATAGCTACATCCGGAATAATGTCAGTCCTCCAACAGCCTAAGGGTTAGTCAGGAGACCAATACTAATCCCTTTACCAGGCCGTTACATACTATTGTCCTTCGGTTTCTGGGAGCCAGTGCAACATCATTCCTTACCACGGCTAGGGTAAAAGGCTCCAGTCTCCTCATGATATCACTCACGCCTACGCACATGGCTTCATTCGTCCCATACTTCCTCAGTCGGCGATGGAATAATTGGAGGAAATGAAATAACACTATAACCAATTTTTTACCAGGAAAAGACCCATAGGTATTTAGGGCAGCAAATTTATAGCAACCATATTCACCATTTCTTGCTCTTCAACCAGCTCTTAGTCTCCTTAAGCCAATGAGAAGCGGTCTCGACTCTTTCTTTTACCCATTCAATCTCATAAACCTTGGCATAATCACATCACAGGCTCAGACATTCTTTCCAGTCCTCGGGCCAAGTCCTTCCCTCCAAAGACTGTGCAAGTGGACGCAATAGCTTTGGCATTTTCTTCACGCATAACTCGACTAATCTGTCGTCCCCCAGGAGCTTTGCTGCTGCAAGGTGCAGAGCTATCTGAAACAAGTTCTTGGGGATGTCTTGTGTTAGCAGAGCGTTTACAACCCTCTCCACCTTCTATTCGGGCGTCTAATGCAATAAAAGTCTGTCTCTGAATAGAGGTATGTCTGCTATTGTCGACATAATAATGAACTTTTTTGATAACTCAGTTAGTGGCCTTGGCGTAGAAGTCTATAATGCATATTTATAGAGCTAGAAGAGTTCATAAATGTGCTCTAAGTGTACTCATACAAGCATGAACTGGTATCAAACGGAAATCGTAGTTCTTTCTCTATACTTCTCTGCTATCAGTTGCAACCAGAGCAAGTTGACTCGCAATCACTAAAAAGGACCCATTCATTTTCTCAGCAGCTTATCCGAGGCCTCCTGATAAAGAATCCTGAGCCAACATGCGGCGGTGTTGTCGAATTCGTGATAGAAGCTCAATCTGTCAGTCGGGCGTGGGATAACAGCGCGTCACCCCGGTGAAACGCCGTAGTCCTCCTATATAGAGCTAAACACCGTAATTGTTCATATTGAGATTAGGCTATAAAGATCACAAAGCCCTACTAAATTCTCTGTAGTGACCACCGGCATAACAAGATCCTCATCTGCCTTGGTATAGGGAAGCTCAGTCCAAGCCGGAATCTAACGGGGGTTCCAGAACCATAGGTAGCTGATCGAATTGACGGATAACCGGAACTTCCCTTCCAAATACAAGTTTCAAGGGGCTGTTAGAACCGGGGGAATACAAGATAGGCGATATTTGGGCATCGAGAGCACCCTTGATGTCAGCCTCGACAGAATCGCCAACCATATGCGCGTCATCTGGCTTCACCTCCAGTTTTTCCAAAGCATACTGAAAGATCCTGACATCAGGCTTAGGATGGCCAGCATCTTGTGATGTGATGACGCACTCGACAAGATCGAAGACGCCAATGGCTTTAGCCTTTTCTATCTGAATTTCGGTCGGGCCGTTTGTGATGATAGCAGTGCGATAGCCATTCTTCCGAAGGCTTCTCAAAGTCTCGATGCTTCCCGGCATAGCCCTTCGTCTCGCCCTGTATGTTCTTTTGTATAGACGCCGAAACCACGCGATACATTCGGAGTCCGGGTCTCCAAGGTCCAAACTGTTGAAAAAGAGCTTGACCTTTGCTGAATCCTGGTCTTCGTGTGCTATTTCATTTCGGAGATACTGGTTATAAACGAGATCAAGGGCTTCGTTGTATTTGTCGACAAGCACGTCCAGCGGGATTTCACGAGGAAGCGGGAGTAAAATTCGTACGGCGGACATGGCGTAGTAGACAGATTGTTGGTGATTGAACAGTGTGTTGTCGAGATCGAAGAATACCATGGTGCGAGTGGGCTGAGACTCGATCGTGAAAAGATTATCTGGGGGTGGGAGAGACATGACGGGGGTTGCTGAGTTTGTTGACACAAAGATCGAAGGCATGACGGAAATATGAAGGGCAGAAACTTAAAAGAGATCCACGATGAACTTGAGTACTTATTATATAACCACAAATTAAGGTTATACTCGCAGGAACTTCAAGTGGCAATAGTGTTAATTTGTGGCTGATAGCTTAAATTAGCGCACAGAACTTAGTCCCTTCCACCGCGTCTTCATTTGTACCAAAGCATGCCATATTGTACCCTCCCAGTTCTCTGTCGAACTCCACAACTGCGGCTTGACTGCTCGTGTAACATCTCCGCCGGGGCCCGATGCTGTAAATGTTGCCAGAATCTGGCGCGTTGCCTCTGTCTCATATACCCTAGAGTCAAGATTCGCTTTGTCAAAATTCCCAGACCTCATTTCCTTGTCGATGAGAAATGGCACGTATAACTGAACCAAGCCAGCTGTTGCGGCTATGATGGGGGCCGCGGAAGACGTTCCCTGCCGAAAGCCATAACCACAGGGAACTCCCGGGGCAAGGGTTCCGAAGTGAAGGGGCAAGCTCTTCAATTCGTGCGGGTTATATTCTTCTAGAAATTTGCCCCGCGATGTGGTTTTCCTGACATATATGACCTTGGGCCATTCGACGTGTCAGTAGCAGGTCCCGTATGAGGTTCCAGCGGACCGTCTGTGTCGGAGATCGTGGATAGGCTTTGGAGCGTCCATAATTGCTGGGCTGTGAGTCGATTATTGTAGCACTGGCTCATGGAGCTACCAACGATATAGGCTAAAAGGCCTTGCCATGAAAGGAAGTCCTCGCGAGATCTCGTTCGAGTAGTCGAGGCGCTTCTCTGTTTCTTGCACAGCATGTTTGGCGCCTCGCATTGGGAAGCTACGAATCATCCTCGGACATAAAGGATTCAATTGCCTTGATCATGTCCGCTGTAACGTAAAGAATGGTTTTCGCGTCTTCTGACTCTAGGGAGAGTAGGCAAAGGTGGCATTCGTGACTGCGAGAAATGTAGTTCTGATAAAGCGTCCTTTGCAAGACTGCCTCCACATATTTCTTTGACTGTGTTCTATACGATTAAGATTTATAAAAGATGTATTAACTCATAAGAACTTAGTTTATAAATTATAATCTATTCTCATTTTGCCTTAATCTCAAAATTCCCTACGTTATATTAATTATTATCTTACAGAGTGCACTAGGCATACTTACTTCTTGAGTATAGCTCGCAAGCAAGGCGCCCTCTTTTGTAAATACCTTTGCAATAGCCAAACATCTTTCATCACCTGCCCAGGGGCAGTTGACCTCGACTAACATCCATTCGTCGGCTCGTATGCTTGATGATGAGTGAAAGCAGATAGAATGATTGAGAGTGGATAACATCCCAATTTCTGTCCCTACTAAAATCGATGATTTAACGCTTTCCGCGATCGATTCCGGAAATCGGAAGTAACCGTGGGCATATGGGGCTGTTGCTATTGCAAGCCAATCAGATAGGAAAACCAGGACGGCTTGATGTACCGTAATGTCATCAGCATGAAGGATATCTTCTCGTGCACGGATCCAACACCGCAATACTCTATCCTGTGGTGGAGTGCTATCATCTCCAAAGCTGACGGCTGACATATCTGGAGCAATGGCGTCGATGCCCTGCTTTTGACGCATATGTCGTTCTTCTGCCGGTGGTTTCCCGACCGCTGCCATTCCTGAGGCATGGTGAATGTGCTGAGGCTTTTTGGGAGGCGTTCGGGCGAACGATACCACAGCAAGATGGATGCATTTTCCTTCCTGGGTTGCGTGGACCGTTCTTGTAGCATAAGAGCGCCCTTCTCGAACTCTCGCGACTGAATAGGTGACTGGGGATTTATCGCTTCCAAGGAGAAAGAATTGGCTCTGCAGGGAATGACAGACAAAGTCTTCACCAACGGTCTGTTTTGCTGCTATCAAACTTTGTGACATGATAACTCTGCATCGCCACTATCAACTCTTGACCGATTTGAGCGTCGGAAATTATAGGAGAGTACGTACCCTCCATAAAGCCCTCTTCCTCCAGGAGGATGCCAAAGACCACTGGTCGTTTTCAGGACATCCTAGTACAAACACACATTTGGCAGTCTATTTCACTTTTGATGAGCCCAGAAGAAAAATTTCATTTGACAGCTTACTCTTTCGATCCTTTCCAGCTGGAATAAGCCTTCCACTTTCGACAGTCTGGGCAGACGGATCGAGTCTAAATGATCTACCATTCTTGACAAAGGTGCTCTTCGTGAGCGTGTGCGTGCATCAAACGACTGGGATACTCCGGTGGATGGGACAGGACAAATCAACTTTGCTTAAGGTCTTCACTTAAGCAGATGGGCAAGCTACTGCGCGTTGTAGCCAGTGGCCGTGTGGTGTACCGTATCTGGGAGAACAGATTTGCCTATTGATATTGAATTGGTTTTTTTAGCCTTATTTTGTAGCACTGTCCCCGAGAACAACCTCACAACGGATCTATTGATCTTGTTTTTCCCCATAAGGAAATAAAACTTGCCGCGGCTAGAGTGGAAATCCGTGGCTTCAACCCCGCATTTCCCTCTACCTCCTGACAGCAGACTTTTGATAGTGGATCGATAAGGAACATCCCTCCCACTGTGTCCACTATTGACAGAACTCGCCCATATGAGGCCTTCCGCGACATCTACCTCGCTTACAAATAATGCAATAGATTGTAGAGAAATAGCCACAAAGTCCAAGCCGCAAAGATATCTGTCTGCCGTTCGCCCTCTCCGGAGACCTTGTAGCGACAACGCCAAATATTTACTTTAGACTTCTTGTATTCTGTCCTTTCTAATGGGAATCCAAAAAGCAACACTATCGATTTCCCCCTCAAATGCTATTGTGGTGGCGGTATATTTGTGAGATAGAGCTAGCCTATGACGTCTGTAGTAGATTCACCAACTTCCCCATGATTTACGAGCCGTCGCCCTGTCCAAATATAACTTCGTTATGGTCCTCGGAGACAGTTACCCTGAGACTGACGCTAATACCGCGCCCTGCCTCGTATGCCACATTGCGGACGCCGACTTCCGTGTGTATATCAACTTCTCTTATCGACGCTGTTCTAGTTCACTACGGACCGGCCCTCTCTGGAAGCTAAGTTCGGTGTGGTGATTATAATTGATTGTGGCGGGCTGAAAAATGAGGGGTTGTTGAAAGAGGCAAAACCGGGCTGGCTGAGTGGGATTCCTCCGGAACTCATCGTATTACTCCTATTGGTCTGCTCAAAAGATGGCAGCGTCTAGACCAGACTATTGATCTGCCCATATTCACTAGCGCCGGGAGCCAAGATTCTGAGGAGAGGAAAACCCTCGCAAGCGTGGCTACATAGTGTCGTTCGTATGGATGGAAACTGAGACATTGATTGTGATATATGTGATGGAATGTGATTTATACGACAGTCTCTGTGTAGCTCATGAAGAGGTTAGCGTTGGGCATGCCTGCAGAGCACTATTCGGGCCTCTTAATCATCTATAAAAGCTCATCTTTGTGTCGTTTTGAATCGAAGGAGCCAGAAAAAGCAAGTCACTGATATTCTCTTTCAATCTTCAACATCATTACAAGCACATCGTTTTGCACTACAGCCAAGCACAATGGCCACTCAAAGACCTGAACTATCTCAGCTAACGGAGGAAGAGAAAGAGAGGCAGAGACGTCTCCTCGAGCTCTGCATGCAACAAGTGGGATTCTTCAGAGGGAAGAAGATCCCAGTTTACACTCCCGGAGATCTCGAGTACGAGAAATCTGTTGCAAACTCGAACCTCCTCTATCGCTTTGACAGACCCGGATGTGTCATCCAACCCGAGCATGAATCTCATGTTCGCATCGTTGTTCACCAAGCTAAGACAGTAGGCCTACCTATACGAATCAAGAATGGAGGCCACTCATACGCTGGATTCTCTTCTATCAACAACGGTATCTCGATTGATCTTGTCAATATGAAACGCGTCGACCTCGACATTGCCAACAAGAACAACATGACCATCACCATGGATGCAGGCGCGCTCTGGGCTCATGCTTATCACGAACTGATCAACGACCATCATGATAAATTGGTCATCAATGGAGGGCGTTGTCCTAGCGTCGGAGTCAGCGGTTTCACTCTGGGTGGAGGACTCGCACCTTTTACTCGAAGTTTTGGCCTGGGGAGCGACACGCTTCTTGAGGCTCGCATTGTCACTGCAGACCATGGAATCGTCCAAGTCAGCCCCAATGACAATGACCCCGAAAAGAAAAGACTCTTCTGGGCTCTTTGTGGTGCAGGAGGCAATAACTTCGGGATAGTCACCCAGCTCAAGCTGAAGGTTCAAGAACTGCACCACGATTATGTTGTTGCAGGGGTCTACACCTGGGCACCTCCCCATGACTCCAAGTATCAGACCGCTTTTACAGAAGCGATGATCAAGTTCTACACTGCTAGTTGGACCAACAACATGACGATTGATAGCAGTTGGCTGATGGACCTCAAAGATGCCCGTGATGATCCTTCTGTTCGATTTTTGGTTTACTATAATGGACTAGAGACACAATTTGACAAAGAGGTCGATGAACGTCTCGGAGATTGCGGCAAGGTTGATGATAAAGATGAGATTGACAGCAAAAACAAGTCACTGGCAGAGCAGCTCAAGGATCGAACGCTGCAGGAGACTTCAACCCTATTTCTTCACGAGACTCTTGTAGCTCAGTGGTCAGAAGAAACCCAGAAAGCCCTGCCTTCAAATCCGATGTTCAGGATCTACACTTCTTTTTCATTCACCGAGGCAAGCGTCAAAGAGAATATTTCCGAGATAATCAAGACTCTGAAGACAAAGCTGAAAGCTTTCAAAACAGACTTCAAAGGCGAAGAAGGCTCAATCAGAGTCACTTGGATTCATTCCGGCGGTAAAGCCAACGAGAAGGGTCCTCACGACTCGGCTTATCCTTGGCGTGGGTGCGTCTATCACACATATATCATGATTGAGTGGAAAGATAAGTGGTTAGAGACGAAGATGAGGCTGTTCCTTGCAGAGTTCAATAAGGCATTGAGAGGATATTCTATGGATGGGCTTGGTGTGTATGTCAACTTCCCGGATGCCACACTCGACAAAGACACATACGAAAAGGCATACTATGGTGTTAATCGAGAGGAGTTACAGAGCATCAAGGTATACTGGGATAAAGATAATATCTTCCAGTGGCCTCATGGAGTCCAGGTTGGACCTCACGCTGAGTCGAAGGGCACTGTGATGGAGTTCGCTGCTTCCCCTCTACCTCCCAGCAGTAATCCTGCTGTTGAGGGGTTTGTCAACCCACGCGAAGCCGCAGGCGTGTCTGCATGCATATCTTGGGATACCTTTAACCCGGCTAGCGGTAGCCCTATAGTTAGTTTAGGTAGCTAAACTAGTTAGGACTGGTGAAAGGTCATGGTCTCACGAGTTTAGAGTCGTCAGTCAACACAATTCTTATTTGATTTGATGGCTCAACAAGTCATCAATTGCCCCTCAGACCTGCTTTGCAAAGCGACTACTACTAAAATGCTTGTGCCCGGAACATTTTTGTACTGTCCGTTGATCTAGCTTGTGATGAGCTGTTGACCTAGAATTACTGAGTAAAAGGAATGATCCCCAGCAGTCCATGCTCCAGTTTCATATCTAACAGTATACCGCATCAGCCTTGGGCTAAGGCTTCTGACCAGATTCATAACATAGACCTAGTTAGAGCCAACGCACGCGCCAATGCTATACATAATAAAGAACAAGCCTGTCGGTGTCAGGTTGCCAACCTTGATACCCTCATCATCTAGATATCCATCCCTTGAGAAAGCGAAGAAATAAATATAAATGCAATGATGACAGTCCTAAGAAGCTTATTAAGAAACTAGTCAGCCTTAGTAGGGCGGGCCCCAGATAGATGCGGATAATGGTTTGACCTGTATATAAGAGAAAGAAAAAAGGGAAAGAGATAAATAAATAAACAAAATCTCTAATTTTTTCACCAATCCTTAGGCTTTCGACCCCACACGACCTGCTGGTAATAAAATAATTGTGCCGTCGTGGATGCAAGCTCTTTGCTCAATTGCACGCAGTAATCCCCCATATCGGAGTTCTCCCAACGACAAACATAAGTCATGAAACCAATCCATCCTTGTATATCTCCAGTAATACTCATTTTCGCAAGACCCCCGATGTTCTTCAAGGCTCGCTCCTTAGGCCAATTTCCAATTGGCACCTTGATAATCCGAGATTGAATGTCAACAAAGCCGACTGCCTCAAGATGTTTCATTTGGACGTCTGAAGGAAGTGGAATGAAGGAAGTACCGAGCTGCTTGCACCCTTCTTCGAAGATAGTACCCCACGTCGCTATCGCGCTGCCATCGACAATAGACTCATTTTGGCTGTGAAATACCGGATTGAACTCATGAGTCTCAATCCAACCTCCAGGTTTAGTGGCTCTGTACGCGCTTTCATATAGATGGCGCCAGTCGGAAACACTTCCACCTAGAAATCGCATATGAATAAAGTCTCTTTGGACCTCGAAAGTCCATTCTTTCGTGAAATCATCGATTTCAAACTGAAGGTTCGGCGGAACAAAGGATGGCTGTATCGGTGAGATATCCGTGCCAGTAACGTTTGCTTCAGGAAAGTCATCAGCGAAATCAATAGCCCATAACCCTGCACCTGTCCCAATGTCAAGAACGTTGCTGACGTGACTTGTCTCAAGCGGTGCAAGATAGAGTTTGCTTTCAAGGGCGAGAAAGGTTGCGTAATAAAGAACTTCCATCATATCAAGAGATAGCTGGTCTTTTGGTGCCCAGTACCGGGCGTCTGCGTCTTGGTACGTTCGGCCGTTGATCACTACAGATGCAAAGATGCTGGATGTAAGAGAGGTGGTACAACTGCTCTGAGGTGACCAACTATCATCACTTTCTTGGTCATCGGTTATACTATCAACCTTACTCTTTTGTCAACTTCTGTGTTCATAGTTTTCTCGAGCGTTACCAACCTCTAGAGATAACTGTTCAGGAATTTGCTTTGCAGGGACTGGTTGGGTGTCTTGCGTTTCGCTCCACAATGGCTCAGAAACTGCTGGAAACTTTGCATCATCCATGGTCATGCTAGAATAACTTTTGATATCGGAAAAAAGGGCTTCGGCGGTGATCATAAGCGCGAATGGCTCACCGTCATAAACGACGATGATTGACCCGCACAATGCTCCCGTTTTTCTATCA